TAGCATGCTTTTCTCGCTAGATCAGTTACGACTGAAAAATGAGTTCGATCTCCATTACGTGCTCGCTACTCTCGGTCTAGTGCCGCATCTAAGTTACGCTTAGATAATAACCATATTTATCGGACATCGCTTACTTAATTGGTCTCTTCTCCTTTTTCGCGGTTTTTTAAGCGTTTCCCTCGTTTTCCCATCAGCCAATCAAATTCATTTACACAAGCATATTATGCCGTAGGTTTATTTCTTCTGTTTTGGGGGCTTTTTTTTTAAAGAGATTATTTGGATTTTTTTTCTTTGGGCATTCAGGCGGATTAATGAAGGCTGCATATTTTCTTGCAAGGTTTCTCGAATATCCAGGACGGTAAGATGCAAATCAATATACTGCTTAATAAATAAATACATAAATAAATACAGAACATCTATTCAAATACGTATATCCATTTAAAAATAATGTTTAAACAAAAAAATTAAATAATTTGACGGACTGAATCCATTTCATAACTTTATACACACACACACACACACACACACACATATATATATATATATATATATATATATATATATATAAAAGAGAAGAAAGACGTCAATATTAGAGTGATAGTCTGTTTTCATGCTAGATGCAATCGTGGCCTGACGATAGCACCTAGCATGAAACAGACTGTCGCCTCTAAGTGTTGACTTTATGTTCACTTTTAGATTTACACACGTTCTATCTCTGATATTGAGCACTTTATCCCATAAATATAGCACATCTTAAGACTATATATATATATATATATATATATATATATATATATATATATATGATAAAATCTAAAATCACCTCATATGGGGAATGGCCTATTTCGGGAGACGAATATAAATCTGTTATCTGTCTTATCAACCCTGGTGTGGATTGAATTCGTCTCAGATATAGAAATTTAACTAATGTAGAATTTATCCATGTCAATTCATCAGTCAGACGAAAGGCACGAGACAGGGGCTACAGGAAGATGGAAGATATTTGTCTTCAAGGGAAAAAAAGTTTTATAAAATTAAACCCCATTATTAAGCTTCTGACATAAATTTGGCGTTATATGAAGAATTATATTATATTGCTCTGTAATAATAAATACATTGAGTTCTTTTTCTTGATCAGTTTTAATGTTTCATATTGCTAGGATCCACTTGGATGATATACCAATTGATTTGCTACCTTTTACTACACACATATATATATATATATATATATATATATTACAATAAACGTGCAATCAATTTATAATAAATACATGAATTATTCATTAAAACTAATGCAAAGGTTAATGATTTAAATGGCGAGACATCCATCTAGCAAACAATTCAAATAGTACACAAAAACCCCAGATCCGTTATGAATGAATTGATCCTTGTTTATATAAATTTCTGCCGTATTAGTTGTTATTTTTAGTACAAGCTTTCGTCTGTTCCTACAGACATCTTCAGGTATATAATAGATGTTGTTCTTGTTTTTTTCTCTTAGTAATCATTAACCTTTGCATTAGTTTTGTGTGAATAATTCATGTATATATATATATATATATATATTGATATTGATAACAGTCGGTAAGAGTATGTTGTGTTTTGTTTAACGATCACAGTTAAATTTCTATTTCCGACACGAACCTAGTCTATACCGGGATTGAATAAGACTGACGAATTTAATTTTCGTCGGTTAAAATAAGCTTACTCCCAGTATGAGGTGATTTGTGATTTTATTGTGTAATAATAAATTTTGTATTTATATTTGATCTGTCAAAATTAATACATTGAGCTCTTTTTTGGATCAACTTTTAATATTTTATATTACCAGGAACTATTTGGATTATATACAAATGGATGTTATCTTTTAACACAAACACACAAACACACACACACACAGATATATATATATATATATATATATATATATATATATATATATATATATATATATATATATAGATAGATAGATAGATAGATAGATAGATAGATAGATAGATAAACTTTAAATATATATATATATATATATATATAATGTAGAATAGATAAGTTGATCAATAAAACAAGTTAAATGAAAGGGTAACTATGAAATCAGTACGAAAAACAGTTAATGATATAACCAGTTTTTCGAATATATATATATATATATATATATATATATATATATATATATATATATATTTAGATAGATAGATAGATAGATAGATAGATAGATAAAGGTAAACATTAATAAGAAAACTGTATTATTCGCCGACGCGTTTCATCCAATGAAACGAAACGCGTCGGCGAATAATACAGTTTTTCTATTGGCGTTTATCTTTATAGTTATTGTCTTTTTTCGCCAGGTTAAGGATTAGAATTATATATATATATATATATATATATATATATATATATATATATATATATATATATATATATATATATATATATGTATATTGATAACGCTCGCTGCGAGAGTGGTGTTTTGTTTAACGATCAAAAACAAACGTTTTTATTGAACATAACGTTAGAATATCTGACTTGCATTTGCGTAAAAATCGGAGTTACTGACACGTCTACAACGGTGTCAAAATCTACTGGTTACATCACGGGTAACATTACAGCCTGAGCATTGAAACTGTGTTACCTCCCCCGGTTGGCGGCTGATGAGCGCAATGTACCTCACCTGCTTTCACACGTCGAATGTAGGTAGATTATATATATTAGGTTTATTCAGGGTGAAAGAATTCTTTCAGACATCTTTGGTAGAATAATATCTACAATTTCTATCTAGTTATTTGTTTTATATATTCATTGTTTGACCAAAATTCATTTTTATCTTTTATTTATATTTTCCGAATATTTTCGAATGTTCCTGTATGTGTTTTCAAGGATTTGTGTTTTGTTTGTGTTTATTTAACTAATTTTGGTTAATCCCTGCGTCCCTTGGTTTCCTGAAACCAATTTCAAGACATTCTAGATGACGCCATTTTAACGATCAAACTGAATTTTTATGTATATTTTATTACATCAAGCCGCGTATTGAAAAGCTTCATGTTTAGGCCTAGTACACAAATTACACAAATTTAATTCTTTACATCTATTTTTCAAAATTATACTTATGATATTTTTAGTAATTATAATAAAATTTTCTAACCTTGACTAATCAGGCTTTTTCGTATAAATATTTTTCTTTTCTCTCTATTACTATTATTGACGCTAAATCGATTTTTTTAACTGCAATGCGTTTTATTGCGGCTCTAGATTTTTTTAAATCGGTATCAACTCATGCAAGGCAACAAAGCCACTAAGACACAAGGGGGTTACAGGATTTGAAGAATTAGGAACGGAAACTTTAAAACTATTCAGAAATAGGAAAGTGAAATCAGGACAGTAGATAGCGATTGACATTGCATTTAAATTTTTGCTGATTATAGTTCATTGGAAAGCATGGAACTGGAAGGGAGTTCCTCAAGCGAGAAAAGAAACTAGCAACATAGAACTTGCGGTTATATCCAGCCAGCTTAAAGGTAAGTTGATGAGAATTCGACGACAGTGTAATACTATGCTTTAATTCAAAAAGTCTAGGTATGAAAGCAAAGAGTTCATCGGAACAATTACAACGAAAGTATTTATAGAAAAGCGACATACAGGTAACCTTATGGCAGTAGATAAGTGCCTAAAGATAAATTCACACATTTTTTATATAATAATAAAAAAATATCTGAATTTATCTTCTTGACTCTAACACAAAGTTAAACTAAATTTAAAATTCAAACCTATTTGGACGGCTTAAAGATTGATCAAACTCGGATTAAGAATTATATTTTGCGTAAAAAAAAAAATATTGTTAAATGTGTAAGATTAGACAGGATTACTGTTCTACAGTTATTGGCCATATCTCCTGTCGACCTTTTTTGAAAAACGGTGCAGATATTTGAATTACCCGAATAAACAGCCACAGTTACGATTTCCAAATAATTCAACTTTGTTAAAGTGTAAGACATTCAACAATTTAATTTGTGTGAAATATAGGATTTTTAATTGGTAAAAAAAACCGACAAAAAACTACTTCAAGCAAATATTTGAAGTAACATTTAATTGATATGGACTCTCAACAAAAAAAGACGACACGAGCCAAGTTTAAAAACAGACGATAAATTTATTGTTAACAGACAAAATGAAGGAATTACACAAATTAAGTGAATTGTGTGCCAAATGATGGCCAATAACATGTCTGTAAATTATCAAGGAAAATAAATTAGACTTTTTTTACAATAAAAATTATAATGCTGCGTAAATGGTACCCGGAAAATAAAACTACATAAATTGAAGAAAAAGAGAAACTAATTCTCTGAATAGTTTTCAAGGAATTCGTACAATTTTTTGAGGCAAAGTTTGTGGTAACAACGAAGACTAAAACAATCACACCAGCCGAAGATTTTTTCTTGATGTAGGAGCGACTTTGATGTTCCTTTCAATTCTCGTCTGGTGATTGTCAAAATTCTTCGGCGTTCTTTTCTTTCTGGACCGGGGTGGTCTTCGTTTTTGCAGCAGCAGTTCGTCGACTCGGAAAATTAAATTCAAGGCCCTCCTTAATAATTTGAAGAGAAAACCTTTTATTGGTTTTTGGATGAAAAAAAAAAACGCAACTGAATTAAGACTAATCAAAATGTACAATTTTGTAAAATACATCTATTGCATTCTTTAGTACAAATCATCTCAACTGTTGTCATTTTCTAAATCTTCTCAAAGTTTAAGGCCCTCCTTAAATAGCCTGCAGACAGGTTCCAAATACACTGCTCGGAATTTGGAGAGAAAACCTTTTATTGGTTTCGGATGAAAAACAGCTGAATTACAACTAATCAAAATGTACCAGAAATATTTTCGAAATAAATTAAGCAAGAGCCCATCATCAGAATCTGCTTTCTCGCTGAAAGCCAGACGTTACGTGCTCAAACAACTTAAATTTCTTCTATCTACCTTTTTTTTTATAAATCTATCTTATATATTCATAGGTTTACTATCTATCTATCAGTCTATTTATATCTATCTCAGTCCATTCATATCTATCTATCTCAGTCTAATCATTATCTATCTATCTATCTATCTATCTATCTATCTATCTATCTATCTATCTATCTCAGTCTGTTCATATCTATCTATCTCAGTCTAATCATATCTATCTATCTATATATCTATCCATCTATCTATCTCAGTCTATTCATATCTATCTATCTCAGTCCATTCATATCTATCTATCTCAGTCTAATCATATCTATCTATCTATCTATCTATCTATCTCAGTCTATTCATATCTATCTGTCTCAGTCTGTTCATATCTATCTATCTATATATCTATCCATCTATCTCAGTCTATTCATATCTATCTATCTCAGTCTAATCATATCTATCTATCTATCTATCTATCTATCTATCTATCTATCTATCTCAGTCTATTCATATCTATCTGTCTCAGTCTGTTCATATCTATCTATCTATATATCTATCCATTTATCTATCTCAGTCTATTCATATCTATCTATCTCAGTCTGTTCATATCTATCTATCTATCTATCTATCTATCTATCTATCTATCTATCTATCTATCTATCTCCAGCAATACTCGATAGGTACATGAAAAATTCTTCAATCAAGCCCCTTTCAACTGGATGTTTCATATGAACAAGGAAGCCTCCAGAAATCATGAACTAAAGCGTAATGATAATAACAGATTCCATGACGGAATTTGCTATAAATAATTTAAATAAAGAAGACGTTTTCTAAACATGGATAAAGAAATGGATGTACGTCTGGACAGATACCATAATTCAGATTTTCAAGTAATCTAGAGATAAAAAAATTAAAGAACGTCTTTTTACAGCGACCTGTTTACCTCCAGACGTAGCCATACTAGAAGAATAATCATTTTATCAATTACGGTCACCCGTAATCTGACATTTCCAAACGATTCGCTTTAAAAAAAAGTTTTAATCCAATCGTCTACATTCTCGCATACTTAAAGAATATTGAATTTTAACTGAAGCGTTACCTTCTGGATGTGCAAATCAGACCTTTTTTTTTTTTTTATCCCAACGGCAAAGCATTAACCACGTCGTTATCAAGTAAACGCCCGAAGTGGATCGTGTTTTTTTTTTTTTTTTGGTTCACCCGTCTCTCAGTTGTCGTTATTCTTGGCTTCTGAGATGAAATAAAAGAACAAAAAAGATTTCAGATTTGATTTCCTTTCACATATTCAGAAAATGCCATAGAAGTGGTTGAACGTTTTCTAATAAGCACTTGCTGATTAAATACGGACGTTCACCAATGCCTGGAAGATACAGTGTCTGGAGACGAGAGACAACGGTAGAACAAAGAGAAGTTTGAATGGCTTCGAAGCAAAGTTGTACTAACACAGATATTCAAGCTGCAGTAGTACTATTATTAGTAGCTGCATTAAACGCAGCAATAATAATAATAATAATAATAAATACAAATGCTTAGGAATTAATGAAAGAGATGGAATACAACGTTCAATTATGAAGAAAAAGATTCGAAAAGAATATTATAAAAGAGTTCGTATGATACTAGAAAGCGTGCTTAATGGGGCCAATAAAATGAAGATTATCATCATCTTAGCTATACCCATAGTGACATAAAACTGCAACAATTTTAAATGGAAGTTGAATGATATTAAAAATGGAACGCCAAGACCAGATAAATACTTACCCAAATGCGCCAGCCGAATCCGATATTTATAGGCAAGAGCTATACGAGGCCGAGGTCTAATCCAACTTGAACTAACTCTATGAACTACAACAAACAGATTCTAAGCACACCTCACAAAAAATGACCTTCTCCTACAAGTAGTAAAACACAAAATCAACTTCATCAACAAAGAAGCTGAACTCTTCAAGAAACAGCTTAATATCTCTGAAATCGTACTGTAGAATATTGGTTGGATTGCAAGTAGACTAGTGTAGACCCCTCAAGCTAAAATACAGCCCTGAGTCATTTAATGGCGAGATTTATGCTTGGATAGAGTTCACTCATGCAAATGTGTTGGGCAGGTCCATTCCAGCAAGGTGGACCTACCCACCTGCTGCATTAGGTGCTCTCCTATAAATGAGGTAGGTTCCCTGGCTTGCCTTTCCAAGGAGATACAAGAAGGCAGCCATGTTAGCAGGTAAGTCATTTGACTTCTACATCTAAAAAAAAAAAGAAAACAAATGAAGGAATACCATCTAAGCCAAACGCATAAAACAGAAAGCAAAAACAACATGAGTCAAATGAAATTAATTACATGACACATAATTAAAAGAATGAAAGAATAGAGTGGGACTCAAAAAAATACATCAATGGTGAGGAGTACGAACTTGTAAGAAAACACATCAAGACATTCCAATTATTGCAGCTTAGAACCAAAGGCTCGCAACCTGTTCTTTTGTCCTCTCACATAATCAATGATGAAACTAAACCGAAATGCAGGATCTGCAGAAAATATGATGAAACCGTCGCCAATATCAGCTCGGGATAACTGAAACTGGCAAAAATGAATATACCCACAGATAGAACAAGGTAGCGACATATGTTCAATAAAAGATATGTAAGGAGCACAAAATCGAAATCACTGAGAGATGGCATGGCCACAAACCAGGCACACTTACGCAAAATCATGATGTAACTCTCCTCTGGGACAAGCCAATTCAAACTGACATGAAAACAAAAACAAACAGCCCGGATATCATCATAAAAGACAAGAAATTCAGTAAGCGTATGCTTATTGACATGGCAGTACCATTTGAGAGAAACACCTCCATGACAATTATCGAGAAAGTGTCCAAAACAAGTACCTGGAGATCGAGATTAACAGGATTTGGGGAATGAAAACTGAGATTGTACGAATAGTAATCGGAGCTCTGTGCCTTGTGAGAAAGAAATTAACAATTTTACTAAAAGTATCCCAGGTAAAATAAACATACAAGTTGATCAGAATATGACTGTACTAAGAATATGACTGTACTAAGAATATTAAATGGTAATTCTCTTATACGGCCTAAGGACCATAGTTTGGACCCGGCTCTACAAGATACACAGCAGGAAACGTAAGATGCACAGTAATTTTGTTGTGAAAGCGAAGTTTGGAGTCGGACGAAAGACATAAAAATGCTCCTACATCAAGAGGAGTATCAAGAGCATTAGCAGAAGAAGGAGTTGCTGAAAACAAACATTCACGGCTAAACATTCTCTTCTCTTGTTTCCATTCTACTTTACGTTTCCCTGTACCAAAAGGTAATAAAATTGTTGGTAAACCAATTCCGATTTTTTACTGCTGTTTTTGATAACTCAATTACAACACTGAGTAACCGTTTTTATTATTCCGGTTCTTTCTAAAGTCTTTTTCGCTTTCAGTATCCCCCCTTGCGCCTTAGTGGCATTATCACCTTGCTTGGGGTGAAAAAACATAACATCAAGCAGTCGCTGAAGGTTTCTATTGTGGACGTCAAAGCCAACAGGGAAAAAAAAAAAGAACATCTGATCAACGGTAATTGATTAAGAACTGAATTGATTGCCTTTATATTGAATAGACAGAAGTTTGCTATCTGCCTGTAAGAACATGTAAAAAAATCTAGAAAAAAATATATATCTAGTTTTTTTCTGTTTAATCATGTTTACTCTAAATTAAAATTGTTCTCAAATATATGATGCACACTATTTTTGTCGTCAAGTTTTTTTTATTTTTTTTTATTTCCAAATCTGTTTCAAAGTTGATACTTAATGAGACCTTTTGCCAAACCGATATAAAAAAAAATTGATTAAAACGTTTCATTCAATTTTATCTTTGTCTGCCCGTTTTAATTTAATCTTCAGTTACTAAACTCAGATTTCCAAATGAATAGACCCTTCAATAAAAGATAACAATTATAAAATATTGTCGTACTGTTGAAAACATAGCATAACAGACACTCTCCATTACAATAGACATTAAATCAATAGTTTTATTCAAAAAATAGACCCAATATATTGCCTTGAATAGAAATATATTACATTAGCTAAACTCATGATTACAGGAAGGAAAAGTATATATATATATATATATATATATATATATATAGAGAGAGAGAGAGACTTGTATATATATATGTATATATATACAGAGACTTGTACCCAAAGAAGTGATATATATAAGAACATGTGCACCAAAATCTAGGAAAAATATATAGTTTTCTCTGTTTAATCATGTTTAGCTCAAATTAAAATTTGTTTTCAAATTCATGACGCATCCTCTAATGTCTATCTAGTTTTGTTTTTATTTCCAAAACTGTTCGAAAGTTGGTACTGAAGAAGTTCTTTTTGCCAGCCTACAAAAATTTGATTAAAACGTTTCATTCAATTTTATTTTTGTCTGCACATTTTAATTTAACCTTCAGTGGCATATGATGGTACATTGTGCTCTTGTTTGCACTTACCTTTATATATATTATATTCGTTTGTTGGCAATTTCCTTGGAGTTTCTACCATTTACATATGCGCAATCACCAAAAAACGAGCAAATAACCGGCTTTAAAATAATAACAAAACAGCCTTAAAAAATTAAAACTAATAGTAATTTTTACCTACTATAGTCTTACACAGACGCCACCATAATTATATACGTGTGTGCGTGAAAACATTATTCAGCAAACAAAATAGAAGAACGGTCTGCGTGTTGATAGTGCAACAGACAAAAAATATCCGCTACACAATCCAACATTGAATACAGCGAACAAATGCGTACGTATGTACGCAACGACACATGGATGCGCATATATGCCCAGTCGCACAGTGTTCATATATGTTTATGTTTGTGTGAGCTCCAGTGAATGAGTGTTCGTGTGTGTGCGTACATCAATGAGTGTACGTGTGTGTATGTATGTTTGCGTAAGTATTAGTGGCGTTCCGGCGACAATTTTTCCTCCCACTTCCATAAAACACCGATGTATGCAACGATATATAAATCCAAAATTTAAAAGTTAATCAGATTGTCTGACGAGCGCAAATATCGTGAAAATCAGGGTCACAAACTCACACCAATCTAACTAAATATGTAGTCTCTATTGATATTGAGCGATGTCCAATAAGTCCCGCGCATATATAATATACGAACAATATATATATATATATATATATATATATATATATATATATATATATATAAAGTCATCCACAGACAGGCTGTTTCACAGCTCTTCAGTGCGGCTAGACATCCGATAGCTAGATGGAAACCTGACTGAATTGGCGTCAGTCGGAGATTCTACACTAAGTTTTCGGCGCACGGCAGGGATGAAGGTGAATTTAACGTATTTATTTTTAGATAAACACACAATGACCGACAGTGACTCAATCGATTTTGCTGAAGAGTCTCATATATCAGCTATAATAGTCACTGTTTACAAATCCACACCTCCACCCCAGAGAACTCAACTGAAATTAATTTTTTCAGGAGCCAATACATAGACAGAGACACACACACACACACACACACACACACACATATATATATATATATATATAAATTGCATATATTTATATTTATATACATATAACATATATAAACAAAAAATAGGAACAATTAGTCGTTGCATTTTCTTCTCTCAGTGACTTTTTCTTCAGAGGCTGAAACGCGTCGTCAAAATTTACTATTG